TCTCAAGTCATTTCAATTCGTAGACAATATTCAAATATTTGAATCGGTTAAACTCAACAATTTACAATAACGTATTAATCGAAGTAACTATGTATAGTTAAAGTTTAGTATTTTTTTTTTTAATTTTATCATAAAAAGAATAAAATTTAATTTGTACAAATCGTAAGATTTAATCGATTCAAATATTATGTTTAGATTAAATCTTACGATTTACGATTTGATTTTTATAATTTTTATGAATTAATATTTTTTTTATTATTAAAATTGAATTAAAAGGATATTAGACTTTGATTATAAATAGTTAACTCGATTAATACGTTCTTGTCAATGGTTGAACTTAATTAATTCCAATCTCTGAAACATATTTACAAATTGAACGGGCTTGAGCTTAATCGATTCAAGTCTTACGATTTGATTCTTACGTATGTTATGAATTAAATTTATTATTTTATTGATAAAATAGAATTAAAAATATATCAGAGTTTATTTATAAATATTTACACCAACCCTCACTAGAAGAGTTGGTATACCTAGCCTTACCAATAGGGTAATGGTCTAGGGTTCGAGCCCCCCTCCTCTACTTCCACTTGCAATATATATATATATTATTTAAAAACTTTATTATATTAAATTTCTTAATAATTTATTTAAAATCATTCAGCCATGTTATTTTTCTAGGGTCCAGATTTAATCTTACAAAATTAATGGTGATTGAAACATATTTCATATAAGTTTAGAACATGAAGTATCTCACCCTAGACATATGCTATCTTAATATCAACTTTTCGAATATTTTGTGATGGGTGATCTAGCCAATTAAGATTGTAAGAACTACGGTTTTAACTAAAATAATTAATACATTTGATTGAGGAAGATGTGTTCAAGTTTAAACTTGGTCGATTTGTACACACTGATCACATTCTCGATTTTTTCTGGGTATTTCTCGGTCCCCTTGCTGAAAGTTCTCTCCAACGCAAGAGTGTCACAAATGAAATGCCTGGTTATTCCAAAATCAACTAGTTAGCATTAACTATGCTTGAAACATATTATAGTTGAGTGTAAAATTTACACTCATTACGTTTACTTTATGCAAATTTTTTGTTTAAATTTAATAATATTTGTGTTTTAATTGATAATTTTGTCTTTTATAGGTGCAAATCGAGAATTATGTGTGCATGAATGAAAAATGATCAAATAGAAAGGAAAAAATTGCAATTAAGAAAATAAAATCAAATTGCAATAAGGAATTCTTCAACAGTTTTGGCAGTGTCCACGATTTCGATCATATCTCTCTCATCCGAACACCAAATCAAATCACCTGATTCTAGCATCATTGGAAAGCTATTTTAAGGACTACAATCTTTATCTCACGCAATATACCTAAATTTGGATGCGGAAATTGAGTCCTATTAGGTTCCTACTATTTCATTATCAAGAAAAGTCTGTAAAAACAACAATTTCCTACACCATTAAAGACGAAATTCAACAAGAAGACGACTACGAATAAAGCAGAGATCTGACAAATCTATAGCATAATTATTATTCTCTTTCTTCTCTTCTTTTGATTTATGTTCTTTAATATTTTTATGATGTTTTTGCTAGAAAACATGAGTAGCTAATTTTTTTCTAGAATTTTATTGGAACTCTATGTGGGGATTGTGAACTTGTTTTCTTGAGATTAGGCAATTATAATTTTTTTGAATATTTATTCTGCTTATTATGATTGTGAGTGCATGAACTTGATCAATTTATATAATTTATCTTTGATTATTGGAATTAACTCGACATACCTATTTTGATAATTAGACGTTAAATAGAAGAACCTTGTAGTAGTTTTCACCGATTAGTGTAATAATTGCATGTGGTATCGTAGCCATACACATATTCACCTTAGGTAAACCATTATTGAGACTTATTCTTTAATCCTTTATTCATAATCGGATTGCATAGACATACAATAATTTTATTTTGAATAATAGAATTATAATACACGTGAAAGCAGGTTATAATTAATATAGTGTCTCAGGTTAATAATAAAACAATCATAGTTGGATAATTGAGGGGTTTTGGGTTTGCCATTCTTGCATAAGGGGAAGATAGAATCATAGGTTTGCTTTTTATTGATATTTGTTTATCATTCTATTTTCTTGCATATTGAATTAAAATAAACTTGACAACCTTTAGATTGTTGGATAGGAATATAATTGTTAGAATTTGGTACTTAAGATTAGGTGATTTGAGTATACCATGTTGTATCAACATCCGATTTTTTTGAGTCCACTTTTCCCACTTGTAAGCGATACGTGCATTTTCGTGTTAGTATTTTCACCAACAAGTTTTTGGCGCCGTTGTCGGGAAATATTTTTAATTGTGGATACACGTAGCGACAAAAACTACTTTGAATAATGCAATGATAAAGCTTTTTCGGTGAAAAAAAAACATATATGAGAAAGAAAAAAGTACTCACTGCACTTGAGAAAACAACTGTTTGAGGATTCAATTGAGCAAATTTGGCCGACGTCCTGGTTCGCATGAATAAAGAGGAGATGTACATGGATGTAATAGAACTTCAGAGAAGTCAAATTGTGGATCCCATCAATGTTGCAATTAAAGAGTTGATGGCCTACGAAAAAGTGACTATGTTTAAGGTGGAGGTTATACGCGGACTGAAAGTTTTTTTATACCGATTCGAGGGTGCAGTTGATGAACATCCCATCTTGGCTTCATACTAATTGATTACAAACGAAAAAAACTACAAGCAAGGATGAACCCTAACATTTGGCAATGTTTTCTATGCATTGGTTGAAATTGAGGTTGTAGAGCCCACAAATGGATGTGCAATCTACAAGGCTTTAGATTGGACATAACAGTTTCAAGAAGCAAAATTTGGCTGAAGATTATAAACTTAGCACTTCTCATGATCGAAGCAATCCGAGCATCATTTTTTTTCTTTATTTTTATTTTTCTTAGGATTTTAGTAAGCATGCAATCTAATAATTTAAACACATTGGGACGGCCGTCCGAAAATCAGTTCAAACAGTGGGTCGGTTATCCAAAAAATGTAAAAGTGCAAACCAGAGATGGGCGTTTCGACTAGTCATGTGTATTCTATAATTGATCTTTGTTCTAATTACATCGAGGGTAACGTAAATTTTAAGTTTGAGGGTGGGAAATCACTTTTTATGCAATTTATATGCTTTAAATTGCATGCCTTAGGATTATTTTTTCTACTTTTTAGTTGTTTTTGTTTATTTATTGCTTTAAAAAAACAATTTGCTTTAGTTGAATGCATCATTGAATTATGATGAAAAATGGTCAATATTTGATGATTAAATTGATTACATTATTTTAACTATGATTGAATTTGGGTGAGCTTTCGATTCAACGTAACTTAGGAGCAGTCAGTTAAGAATCATGGATTATGTGTTGCTTTTGTTGAATTTTTTTTTTTTTTTTTTTTTTGTATTTTAAACGTGGAGATTATTCATGTTATATCATATGATGTTCGGTTTTAAAACTCACCTTAGGAATCTATGAAGTAAATTATCGAGTCATTGAGTGATTCTAGACATGATTTGGGCCTTTGATCCGTTGACCCTTTCAAGCCTATCTTTAACATATTGATCATTAGATCATTGATTGTGCTTTGGAGAAAATGTGTTCTTTCTTTTAGCTAAATTAAAGGAGTTAATTGCATAGACCCCCCTGTGTTATTTCTCGGAAGCAAAAAACCACCCCGGAAAAAAAAATAGCATATGACCCCCTATGTTGTGTTTTAATCAGCCCACCGCCCCTTTGTGTGCACTGGCTTGTTGACTTACGTGAAATGACAGAATTGCCCTTAATAAAAAATAAAGAAAAAAGACCTCAATACCCAAAATAATAAAATCCAAAACTCACAGCAAAAAAGACTTCAAGTCTGTAATTAATTTAATTAAATTTTATTACACAATTATTTTTAATTTTTTTATGTGTAGTTATTTTTAATTTTATACACATTAATAATTTTGTAATTATAAAAATAAAATATAAACAGAAATTAAATATATATAGTTGTATTAAAATATTTTATATGTTTTATATTATTCTTTTATTATATTTTAAGTTAAAAAAAAGGAAAAGGAAGAAAAAGTAGTCTTCTTCCCCGATGCACCCCACCCACCACCCAACTCAACCCTTCTTCGCCCCACGCCGCTGCCCAACCACCGGCTCACCCCAAAATGCCCCGCCGCAGCTGCTGCCACTTGTGGTGGCGGCGCTGCCACCATCAGCCCATGGTGGAGGCCACCGCCGAAGACCACGATCGCCATGGACGGCGGCACGAATTCCTTCGCCATGGGGTTCAATTTCGAGAGCATTTCCTCCAAATCCCTCATCTCCCTCTTGAACCCCTCTCCTCCATCATCGCCGCCCCCGTTAACTTTCACCTCCTCCACGTGCTGACGGCCGTCGTCGCCGCCGCCGCCGTTAATTGTGTTTTCCAGCTGATGATGGTGGTGGCCGTTGGATACTTTCTGCTGGGCCAGGTTTTCCGTTTAATTTGCCGGGAAAACACTTGCCCCTTTCGAATCTACTTCGAACGAAACCCCCACCTTAAGAATTCGTCGGAAGATTTGGCCGAAAAAGCCTGCCCCGTCGATCTTACCTTGGACCAGCCCGCCCCCTTAGATCTCGTCGGAAAATTTTCTCAAACTTTACCATCCCCGTTCTCAACCACCGTCCACAGCGGGGGACACCCAACCACCACCACTCCCTGCAAAATACACCTCATAGCAGAATCGGGTTACCCCTCTCCTCTTCGTCAATTTTTCTCAACTCCATCACCTGCAAACTCACTTCCGACGCTCAATTACTGCAGCACCGGAAGATACATAGCAGAATCGGGGTACCCCTCTCCTCTTCGTCAATTTTTCTCAACTCCATCACCTGCAAACTCACTTCCGACGCTCAATTACTGCAGCACCGGAAGATACCTCGTGTAGATTAACCCGCATTTTCCCATGGGAGGTGGAATAGGAGGCGGCAACGAGGTGAAGTTGGCGGTGGACAGGTGTCTGGGGCGAGAAGAGCGGAGGAGACATGTTGTAGAAGGAAAGGGGTGGGTCCGGCGGGAAGAGGTGATGGCCGGAGGTGGTGATGGGGGTTTGGTGGTGGTGGCGATTTCAATGGGGAATAAGAAGAAATTTGGGGAAGACATGCTCTTCTCTCATTTTGGAGGCGGCGGCATAACGAGGTGATTGCCGGTGGTGGTGGTGGTGGTGGTGGGAATTTGGTGGTGGTGATTTCAATGGCGAAGAAGAAATTTGGATTTTGGGGAAGACGATATTTTTTCCAAAATAGTGATTTCAGCCCACAATTTTGATAATTACAATTTAGTCCTATAACTTTAGATTATTTATAATTGAATCAATCTGGGTTTTTTTCCTCTTACAAAGGGTTATGTCTTTTCCTGTCCTAAAATGTCCTAAAACGCATGCCCAGCTGCATGAAACGCGAGTGTATCCCACGATTCGCTCGTAGGGTCTTTATTGTCATTGACTTCCTTTCATAGGGGGGTATTTGCTCATTTTTTTATCAGAGGGGTTTTTTTGACAATTAGACATTTCACAGGGGAGCCGAGTGCAAATACCCCTAAATTAAAGTGGGTAGATTAGATGGAGGATTTCTTGAAGAAAGAAAAATCATGAGCAAAAATTGAATAAATAAAACTCGCACCTACCTCATGAGCAAAAGTGGATATTTTTTAGCTCTTGAGAATCAAGTAGGTTAATAAGTTCTTAGAGGTGAAACAGTAATTTCAAAATTCAAATCATTAAATCCCGGCGAAAAGACCTTGATTCAAGAAAAAAGTTTATCAATTCCTTAAGTGCAACTCTTTTTATCAATAATGGTTAGATAAAAAAAGAGAAGAGTAGCCACTTATACCCATAATTCTTACATTGCACCAAAGACCCAAACAACTGAAAGCAAAAAGTCACAACGATCCTAGCTCAATTATTCAATATTAGCAGAGTAGAGGAAATCGGTGAGTCTTTAGAGTCAAACATTATTTTGCAAGTATAAATTTTGTCCATTTTTAGATTACAAATATTGGATGCTTGTACCAATAACTAATTTGTTATTTTTTGCATTGGTAAGCTATTAAGTTTCTTTGAGTTCCGAGCTTGTAATGTTTTTGAAAATGGTTATTCCAACTGCAAGTTTTGAAAACGTGAAAACTGTCCATTAATTTATGTGAGGAGATGCATTAGTTGGATTTGTTGTTTTGCAAGTCGTTAGTCTTTGCTTGAGGACAAAGAAAAAATTCAAGTTTTGGGGTGTGTTAAGTGTAGAATTTACACTCGTTACCTTTACTTTACGTGAATCTTTTATTTAGATTTAATTGTATTTTGTTCTTTAATTGATAAATTTTATGTTTTTATAGGTACAAATTGAGAATTAAATGGGAATGAAGAAAAAATGATCAAAAAGAAAGGAAAAAAATGCAATTAAGAAAATAAAATCAAATTGAAATAAGGAATAGCGCAACAATTTCGGCAGTATCCAAGATTTCAATCATATTTCTCTCATCTGAAGTCCAAACCTCATTCTAGCATCATTGAAAAGCTATTTCAACGGACTACAATTATTTTCTTACGCAATTGACCTAAATTTGGACTCTCACATGGTCAAAATTGGGTAACAAGTCATGTTGGAGAAAATATGAGGAAATTGAGTCTTATTAGGTTTCTACTACTTCTTTATGAAAAAAAGCGTATAAAAACAACAATTCCTTACACCATTAAGGATGAAATTTTGGACCGAACAACAAGAAGACGACTACGGACAATAAGAGAAAACATGAGCAGCAATTTCTTAAATAGGATTTAATTGAAACCCTATGTGGGGATTGTGAACTCATTTTCTTGAGTTATGCAATTATAATTTTATGATTATTTATTCTGATTGTTATGATTGTGAATGCATTAACTTGATCAATTTATATACTTTATCTGTGGTTATTGGAATTGACTCGACATACCTATTATGATAATTAGACGTTAAGTAGAAGAACATTCGAGTAGTTTTGAGCGGATAAGTGTGTTTATTGCATGTGGTATCGTAGACATACAAATATTCACATTAAGTAACTATTATTGATTCATAATCGGATTGCATAGACATATAGTAATTTGGTATGAATAATAGAATTATAATACACGTGAAAGAGAATTATAATTATTATATTATCGTGTCTCAGGTTAATAATCAAGAATCATATATTGCATAATTGAAGGGTTTTGGGCGAGCAATTCTTGCATACGGGAAGATATAATCCTATGTTTGCGTTTTATTGATATTTGTCTATTATTTTACTTTCTTCCATATGGGATTGATAATAAACTCGACAACCTTCGAATTGCTAGATAGGAATATATATAATTGGTAGAATTTAATACTTAGGATTAGAAAATTTGAGTATACTTTGTCCGATCGTCATCCGGCACTTTCGAGTCCACTTTTACTACTCGCATGTTAGTTCATCAAGATGTTTTTTATGCCAGAGAATATTTTTAATTATCTACGATTCTGATATTTGATTCGACCAATTTTTCTTACTTCAACCGTTTAATTTGTATTTGTATTTTTAATTTTGATTTGTTTTATAAGAGAAAAATGATAAGCATAATGGATTATTTGATATATAGTTTATTTTAATGACGTTAAAATGTGATTTTTAGAATTTCTATTTTTTTTTTCCAATGTAAATTATAACCCAAAGAGAGTGGGATGTAACAAATAAAGCAAAATGAAAAATAAGAGACATTTTATGTGTGTAACAGAGAGGAAAGAGAAAGACATAAGAGAGAGAAGAGAAAAAAAAAACAGTGACTGGGATGGCAAAAAACCTTGATCCATTAGCTATTTGTGGGTAACTGCTCCGTTTAAAATTCGATAACGAAAGCATTAGAGTTTAGTAATGATTTAGGTATAATGAATACAAACCGGTACGAATATGGCATGGTTCTAATTTTACTCTCCCGATTTTTTGGTACAAGACCATTTGTTATATATGGGTATCCGACTGTATAACCCCCCCCCCCCCCCACCCCACACACACACACACACACACACATATATATATATATATATATATATATATATATATATATGTGTGTGTGTGTATGTATGTTTGTTTCTCTCTTTTTTTCTTGGTTTTTGTTCAACTTTTAGATTATCCATTTCTCGTAGAGTCACGATTCAGACTTTAGAGTAACTAGAACCCTAGAACCACGGCAGAAACAACAAACCCTATAGGATGTTGGTAAGGTTTTTCTCTCTGTGTGAGAGGCATGAATTTATTTTTGATGATAAGGTTTCATCGTGTCGATGTGAAATATATTATTGAGTAAAAATGGTTTGATCATACATGATGTTGGTGAAGGTTTTTAGCTGTAATGTTACTTTTTCCTTTGGTCGGTTTCCTATATTTTGTTTGACCATTTTTAGAACCCTAGCCGGCGGTTTTTCTTCTTTTCTTTACCCTAATAATCTTTTTGGTTTTTATTGATTGTCTATCCCCTGTTTATTTTCTCTCTATGATTTCAGATTGTAGGTTTTGAATTCACTTTTCGTCAGCTATATTGGGGTTCTATAATTCTACAACATCTCTCTTGATCTCACGGTTTTAGATGTCCGGCTCATTCTTCGTATGATTACAATGAGTTGTCTCTTCTGGAAATGTCAAGGGCTCGGGGTTACCTTGACAATTCATTGCCTCATATTTGATCTTGTGTTCCTATCCGAGACCAAATGTAATCAGCCATTGATTGAATCAGTGAAAAAGTAATGGAACTTATTTGGATTAAGTGTTGATAAAGTTGGTAGAGGCGGTGGATTGGCTCTCCGATGGAAAAATGATATAACGGTTGACATTCAACACTACTCTCATAATCACAATGATGTGAGGGTTTCGATGCCAATGCATGAAGGAATATGGAGATTCACTGAATTTTACGATTTTGCAGATCATTCTCAACATCACAAGTCTTGGAACCTTTTGAGAGACCTGCAGCGGGAAATAGTTTGCCATGGGTGATTGGGGGAGATTTCAATGAGTTTTTGTCCAATGCAGAGAAAGATGGAGGAGTTCCAAGGCTGCCCGCCATGATTAAGGCTTTTAGAAGTGCGCTTGAAGACTGCGGCTTGTTCGATATCGACTTTGAAGGAGATCCATTCACGTGGAACAATAATAGAGAGAAGCCTGATACAATTCGTTGTAGGTTGGACATAATTTGTGGATCCACATACTGCATTAGGGGTGTGAACGAGCCGAGCTTGAGCTTGAATCTATTTTGTGGAGCTCGAGCCCAAGCTCATTTTGTTGTTTTTAATTATTATTTTATTATTTTTAAAAATTATTTTTAAAAATTACAAAATAAACAATAAATTGTAATTATATATTTTTTAATATTTATATTTTATTTTTATATATTTCTATAATATTTTATATTATTATAGATTATTTAAACAAAAAAATAATATATAACTAATAAAAAATAAAAATAATAAATAAGGTTCACCAGCTCACGAACAACTCAAAACTGGCCCGAGCTCGAAAAACTCGAGTCAGAGTTCGAGCTTTTTTCGAGCTGGCTCATTGAGCTCACGAGTCGGCTCGACTCGTTTACCACCCCTATACTGGATATCTATGTTTCCCTTTCACGGGGTGAATCATTTCAAATCAATCGGATCAGACCATAAGCCACTCGTTCTTAGACTTTGCGTACCGTCTAAGATAAATACAGGGCCGGTCCATCGGAGTTCAAGGCCTTAAGCGATTTTTTAAAAAAAATGTATTTTTTCTTCTATATATTATTGAACTCTCTCCCCCCTCCCCCAAAGACAAGTGTTATTAAACTATTAAAACAAATGTAACATATTAAAACATAAACTAAATTAATTAGTGAAGAGCGTGAGCAATTCCGATATACAAAAAAGTATAAGAATTTAATACCGTTGTTAAAATTTGATGCAAAAAGTCGAAAAGTTCATTATTTATTAAATATCAAATACTCAAATCTATAGAATAAAAATATTTTATTTTGGATTTGCCGAACGTGATAACTGAAGAAGCAATTTCACTGACATCGTTTCTACTCGTACGTGGCATACAATTTTTATTTTTAATTATTTTTTGAATTTTGAATTTTTGGGCCCACAAAAAATAAAGAGGAAAATAACTTTTATTTTTTTTAATTATAGAGAATTGTTGTGTAACACCCCACCTTTCCAAAACCCGAAAACTCTAAAAACCCGAGATTAATATTCCTAACTCGAGAACCCTTAGGAAATATTATTACGTGATTATATGCATTACGTGAATTTAATTATGCTACTTACGTGACTAATTACATGCGTTATTATATGTGTGATTTATATGATTTAAAATTTCGTAAATTGAAATCCTAGGAATTTCGTGAATTATGTGAATAATTTCGTATTTTATTTGTTTGATAAATTACTTGGTAAATTATGTGGAATATATATATATATATATATACCTATATGTATACGTACATACACGTACATATATGCATGCATACATATACATACATATATACTAATACTAGCATTGTATGTTAGATTATATTTACATATATATGATATATTTATTTATGTGTGTGTGTTATCCGAAATGTGTGTGTGTGTTATGCAAGTGGATTTAATTTAAATAAATAAAATTAGTAAGATTTTTGCATGACTTAACACTTGTCATCTTGTGATCATTTCCTTAATCCACACTCAAGATATGAAAATACACTCTTCTAATTCCTTCTTGCAACACATCACCCCATTACTTGTCTTCCTCTCCCCCATTCCACCGAGACCTCACCACCACCTCCATTCTTCGTCTTCTTCCACCTCATCTCTTGTTTTTCAAAGAAAATGAAAAAAATCATTTCCAAGTCTCCTATTTAACCATGGACTTTGATTAGCCTTCAGCATCATTCACCGAGAAAGAAAAATACACATTATCTCTCTTAAAAATCCACTCCTTCTCTTTCACAATGAAAGTAGTTTGGCTAGAGCTTGGCATCAACCTTTGAAGCACTTTCCTTCGATTTTCCTTCATTTTCTTTCGGTTATTAAGGTAAGAAATTCGATTTCTTGCTGCAATTAAAGGACATCAATAGTATTGAAATGATTTTCGTGAAATTTTAAAAGATTGGGAAAGATTTCGAAAATTTAGGGATTTTTGGGGAAAAATGAAAATTAAGTGTTTCTTGCTAATTTCTTGTTCTTGCATGCATCATCTATGTTGATAGTGGTTAGATACAACTTTTATTGGCCAAAAGCCTTAAAAATTTCAGATTTCAAAAAGGGTTTTTCAAGAAAAATGAATTTTTAACTTTTTGTGGTTGCATGTGTAGATCTTCGAAAGTTTGGGCCAAATCTGTAATTTTTGTAAAGTCTGTCCGAAAAATGTTTTCAAAACTGTTTTCCAGCATTTATTGAACAAAAATTTCGGATTTAAAGAATTTTTGTAAGAAAAAGTTGATTTGGAAATTCTAGTAGGCTTGCATGTGTAGATCTAGAGAATTTGGGGTAAAATATGTAATTTCCGAAATTTCTGCATAAAGTGACTTTTCAACTTCATTTTTCTGCATCTAGTAAAGTGGAATTTCAGATTTGTTAGGGGTTTTCATGAAAAAGTTGATTTTGAACTTCTAGTGTGGTTGCATGTGTAAATTTCGAAACTTTTGGGGTCAAAACTGCAATTTCCGAAAAATCTCTCATTTTTAAAAGTTTGGATCTGTTTTTCAGCAAGTATTAGATAGGAAAATGTTTTATTTAACAAGTTTTTAAAATAATTAGAGTTATATTAGAGTTTTGGATTTTTTTAAAATTGAATAAGGGATTTTCCTAGTTTTATTTCAAGAGAATTCGAAACTTTGTAAAACTTTGAAAAAATTTCAGAATCTGGAATTTGAGTCAGTTAGGAGTTCTAGGATTTAATTTGAGAATTTTTGGAATTTGTTTGCTAATATTTCGAAATTAGGACAATTTGCATACCATTTAACATGTTTTGTGCTTTAATGCTTATGTTCTTGATTGAATGGTGATGAGTGATGAATTTTGGTATTTTGGGACTTTAATTGCTGTTGGATGTGTTTAATGGCTGTGGGAAATTGATTGAAATGGATTATTACCTAGATGTGGTAATAAGTCCATTAAATGAAGGTAAAAAGGTATTTGTTCTTGAGCTTGCTTTCATGAGTAATTAGTGATGTTTAATGTGTTGATTGTGCACGTGTGTGTGCTGAAAATATGTGAAGGTGTGTGTGCTGATTATGCATGGTGTGTGTGCCGTGTGTGGTTGTGCACTTATGTGTGTGGATTTGGGACTTTTGCTCAAATCATAAATATGTGGTAAATTGTGGTATTTGTGTGATTTGTGACACTTGATTGACATTTGTGATGTTATGTGTGGGTCATAAGCATAATTTCGAAAAGTTGCATAAAAATGTTTTTATTTGAAAGGTTAATGGAATATCGGGTAATAAACAACTCGGATATAGTGGGCCGGTATCCAACTAGGATGATGTGGTAGTGGTTTGATTCCACTTAGTGAAAACGGGCTCGTAACAGGTTTATTATCCGGTACAGAAATTAATCTTTCACGGATCCGATAAAACGAAAAATGTGTTTTTCATGATTTTCACAAAAAAAAAGGGGCATTTTAGTCATTTTGCATAATTGCGTGATTTCGTTAAATGATGTATTTTCGTGAGATACGTGATACGTATTTCCAAAGTTCGATAATACTCGGATTTCTTACTGAGCTTTATAGCTCATATAGATGTCTTTTAATTGCAGGTAGTAGTAATCCTCAACCGGGATGGATCGAGTAGTGGATCGAGGTCTTGCCCGGGATTTTGGAAGACGTACGAGGACCTATGAACGATGTTAGGCTTTTGGTTATTTTCTTTTGGTGGTGTAACCCTAAAACCGTAATATTTCCCTTTCGTACTCTTGAACTCGTTTTTCATTATGAATCGTACTTAATTCCTACTTTAATATATTAAGTTTCGTAATTTGCTATTCTTATTCCTTCGTTAGAAAACTTCGAAGTATTCACCAAAAATAACCTTTCCGAACTCTGATTTATTCTCGAACCGAAAAATGTTTAGTGAGAATGTAGCACTCGAATGAGAAACCTCCTTTCGAAACTTATTTCTAAATCAAGCTTTGTATTCGGCTAAAGCAATTCAACAAAGTTTTCGAAAATGCAAAGCCTTCAATACCCAAAAGAACAAAGTTTTGATAATTGCATTTTCACCCCATTCCAATGTTTCAAAAATTACAAAGAGATCCGTTGCTTCCGCTAGTTTAATAAATATTCCGATAAACCGGTTCGATTTATCGCCCGTCTAGAAGGGGGGTGCTACATGTTGACTACACTATATGCGATATTTTATTTTGAAATATATGTATATATATTATTTTTTTGGGACCCCTTGGTAGTTTGGGGCCAAAGCAAATGCTTTCCCAGCAATACCCATGGGCCGGCCCAGGATAAATAGGTCAAGAAAATCAAAGTCCTATCGTTTTAAAGCTACGTGGATTCGTCATGACGAGTGTGCAAGGATTATCGAGGAGACATGGGAGGAAGGTGCATCACCATCGAATCCCCTTGAGAAATGGAGAGAAAAATCTGATGCATGTCGAAGTGGATCGATCCGGTGAGTAAAGATGTGTTGGTTAAGCCGAGAAAAAGAATTGTTGAAATTCAGGAGAAACTTCACGCAATACAATTGGGTCCTGTGACTGCACAAAGTAAAGAGGAAACCTCTGTCCTCTATAGAGAAGCAGAACTCAGTGGGTTCAAGCGGGTGATCGTAATACATCTTTTTTCCATTCTAAGGCCACAACCAGAAATCGTGTCAACAAGATAATGGGTCTTGAGAACCAATTCGGTGAATGGAAGAAAAACCCGTCAGACTTGAAGCACATTGTAACAAATTAATTTGGGGGTATATTTAAGTCGTGCAACCCGAACCCAAATGAGATGAGAGCGGTTTTTGAATTAATGAACCCCAGAGTATGAGACGAGGCGAATCAAATGTTGTTCCAACTATATACTTCCAAAGATGTAACTACAACTCTCTCTTTCAGATGGCCCCTCTTAAATCTCCTGGACCAGATGGTATGCCAGTTATTTTTTTACCAAAAATATTGGTGTATTATTGGCTGAGATGTTACTAAATGCATTCTTGAATTTTTAAATAAGAGGCGCATCCCTGAAAACCTTAACTTCACCCACATCGTGCTCATTCCTACAGTTAAAAATCCTAAGCGTGTCGTTGATTTTCATCCCATTAATCTTAGCAATGTCATCTGTAAGATTGACTCTAAAATAATTACTAATCGTATAAAGTATATCTTAAAAAAAATATTATTTTTCCCACTCAATCTACTTTTGTACCAAACTGACTTATCACCGGTAACATTCTTAGTTTCCTTCGGGATAGGGTATGGACTAGAATCAAATGTTGGGGTGAAAAACAATTGTCAAAAGTGGGAAACGTGGTTCTTATTAAAAGTGTTCTCCAATCCATTCCGACATATTTAATTGGTTGTTTTGTTCTGCCTAGTACGGTGATAAGAGATACTGATATGGCAATTAGGCGATTCTTTTGAGGCTGATGGCAGTATTAATAATAAGATGAATTGGATCTCCTGGCGTCGACTATGTTCCCCAAAAAATGCTGGACAAATGGGATTTAGAGATCTAAAAACTTTCAATTGGGCACTTCTAGCTACACAAGGATGGCGTCTCCTCACGTGCCCCGACTCATTAGCGGCGAGACTTCTTAAAGCTCGTTATTATCCAAGTACGGAATTTCTGAAAGCAGATATGGGGGTGCGACCTTCCTCTACTTGGCGGAATATACTTCATGCGAGACCTTTTCTAGAAAATGGTTTAAGGAAAAGAGTCGACAATGGCAAGTCTACGGCAATATGGGAAGACGCCTGGCTCCATAAGGAGTTGGCTTTCAAAAGTATTACAAAGTGTACCATTAAACATACGTCCCAATTAAACTATAAGTATTGGTCCATCGAGATCTCTAATGTTGTTCGATAACTATGTGAACGTTCTAAAGCTATAAAGTCCATTTGTGTGGTATTCAGAGAAACTCTTTTTTCTAATCATCATACTTTTTACGTTAGCCGAATATTCCTTGGACTATATACTAAAAGAACGCAAATGAAATCTATGCAATTAAGCAAACGTTCAAATCTCTAAGTACGTTCCACAAACTCCAACTAGATTTTGAAATGTGCGAACGTTAGCCCTTGTAGTAAAGTCGCAATGATGTATTAGGTCTTAAGTATTATAATACCTCACCAACAAGCCAACTTGTGGTTGTGATCTTTCCTTTATTATTGTAATAAACAATCTATTTCGTATTAAAGATAAAATCTATTTTTTTCTTTCCATATCTTTGTCCATTGCAAATACATAAATATAGTCCTTACAATTATTCTAATTACTATTAATTAATCTAGTTGAATCACGAGGTATTTACTTAATTAATATAACTGTTAAATCTAGTATCTAGTCAGCCTGTTACACCATTAATGAGCTTACTGGTCTTTTTTATTAGAAACTAGCACTCAGTGTATGTGTACTGCGTCTCATCAGTAATCGGTATTGCGATATCGGGCATACTTGAGTAGATGCTCATATAGATGAGTTCACTGAACTCCCTCATCCTCAAAATCTCTAAGTGGTTCCCAATAATCGAGTAGAGGTTTTATGATATATTTGTACACCATTAATCCTTAAGACGCAAACATCACCATGACTTCACTAGAAGACTAGTTGTATGTTGACCTGTCCCTGAGTCCCAACGAGGACCGCTCCAAGGGCCACTGTTCGTGCAGTCCAAAATCTAGTGGGAGGTCTTTGCATTGTAGTAGGGGATTCGATCGTTTAAATGGTAATGAATGTCCTGTGTGTTCTTACAGTTTGTAATCAATTACATTACTAAGAACATTCACACATATATTAAACTTTAATAGAGGTCTTGGTGAACCAATGCCTTTAGTTCAATCGGGACATTTGTATCGAAGGGATCGTACTGTACGTTAATTGTACTGTATGTTAACTATATCATACGGTTCTTGCAGGCACTTCATTTGTATATAAGGAATCGTGATGCATAGTTGTTAGACGCCAATCTTCATTCTTTGGGCAGTTAAGATAAAATTAGTTTCATCTTAATTATAACTCTAGGGACGAGTTTAAATCACAATGTGTTGTGGGCCCACGAATTACACCTGAACTATGGAGGGTCACGCTTGTCGTGTACTTGAACTCCTGGATACAAAAGTTCATCCAAGAGTTGGGTGTTGTTCCAAATGCAAATGATCCAGTACCGCTGTACTGCAATAACATCGGAGACGTGGCGCAAGCTAAGGAACCGAGATCTTGTCAGAAGTCCAAGCATACTATAAGGAAGTATCATGTGATCAAATAGATCATTGATAGAGGTGAACTCAAGGTCGAAAGAGTCACATCAGAAGACAGTGTAGCAGATCCATTTATGAAGAATTTGTCCATATCAGTCCACGAGAGACATCGAGAGTGGATGGGATTACGATTCATGGGTAGTTAGCTTTAGCTCAAGTGGGAGATTGTTAGAGTAGGTAACCAACAAGGCAACTTGTGGTTTTGGTCTTTCTTTTATTATTGTAAGAAACAATCTATTTCGTATTAATGATAAAATCTATTTTTGGCATTTTATATATTTTTCCTGCACGTGCATAGATATAGTCCTTACAATTACTCTAATTACTGTTAATTGATCTAGTTGCATCATGAGATATTTAATTAAATAATATAACTGTTAAATCTAGTTTATAGTCAATGGGTTACGCCATTAATGAGGATACCCGTCTTTTACATTAGACACTAGCACTTAGTGTATGTAAACTGTGTCCCATCAGTAATTGGTATAGTGATATCGGAATACATGCGTGGGGGCTCATATAGATGAGTTCATTGAACTCTCTCATCCTAGAAATCAGTACGTGATTCCCAATAATCGAGTAGAAGTTTCTATGATATAGTTGTACGTATTAATCCTTAGAACCCAGACATCACCGTGACTTCACTATAGGACCAGCTATATCGTGATCTGTCCCTGTGTCCCACCAAAGACCGCTCCAAGGGTCAATCTTCGTGCAGTCCGAAATCTAGTCGGATGTCTTTGCATTGTGGTAGGGGATTCGATCGCTTGAGGGGTCATGGATGTCTTGTGTGTTCTCAGGGTTTGTAATCAATATAGTCTCTGCCAGAGCTGACTAGGGAAATATATTTCTCTAATTCATACACTAATCGATTACATTACTAAAAACGTTTACACGATTATTGAACTTTAATAGAGGTCTCGGTGATCCAATACCTCTAGTTCAATCTGGACATTTGTATCGAAGGAATCGTACTCTACGTTAACTATGTCATACATGTCTTGCAGGCACTTCATTTGTATCTAGGGAATCATGATGCATAGTTGCTAGACGCCAATCTTGATTTTTTGAGCAGTTAAGATAAAAGTAGTTTCATCTTAGTTATAACTCTAGGGAAGAGTTTAAATCACAATGTGTTGTGGGCCCACAACTAGTTTACACATGGACCATCAAAGGTCACACTTGCCGTGCACTTGAACTCCTTGAATAAGCCGTCAAAGATTAATTGTCCATCTTTTCATAATTGGAAGTCAATATGATTGAGTCCAACATTCGTAATTATTGATTAGTGATGAGAATGAACAAATAAAAGGAAATAGACAACAATTTAGTGTACTTTCTAAATTTGGATGTTTCCCAATTTAGCAGGTTTACTGAATTATGGTTTCCAATTTTAGAAATTGGAAATAAAGAATAGGCACTCATATTGATGAAGGCATTACAATGATTACGCCAATATAGTCGTTGTATTTTTTAAACCATTGGTTAGTAAGAAACAAGCATAGAAGATTAGTGGACTTAAGCTGTTGGGCCCAGAACAACTTAATTCCATTAGGGCCTCTTTGGTTTGCTATATTAGGCTTGATGGGATGAATAATACCTTCGTGTATTATGTTTGGTTTGGTTGTTTGGTGAGGCTTTGATAAGGGGGCCCACAGATTCCATCCCTCAAATGATTTATTAGCAGTCACGCCAATATTGGCGTGATATGCTGTCCTCCTTTTATCCCATCATGGAGTGGGTTGTGCAATATCATTTTTGCCCTTTCAATACTTTGGTAATTACTGAATATTTTCATATAAAAACAAAAAGTACTTGTGAGAAAATCCCTTTTCCCGACATTAGCAAGCCCTACTCCGAAACGAAGGTAATTTCTTCATCTTCTTCACCATTTTCATTTTCAAAATTTTCAATCTGAAGCTTAAAAATGCCCATATGATCTGAGGCTTTTACTCTCTGTAGGCGCTCGGCACCATTACACGGCCAGTGAAAGTCGTTTGTGTTGGTTGGTGTGGTCATTGTTCTTCTGCTCCGGTAAGTCGGTTTGTTACATATTTTAGTTTTGTGTTCATCGTGTGTGGAATTTTAATTACTCACACTACTTCATAAATCCGTCTAATATGGTTACCAATTTCAGGTTGTTGTTAGTTGGTATTCTGCATAAGCTTGTTTCGTGATTTGGTATAAAGATACACTCTTTCAATAGAGACCGGGTTCGTCGGATTAATTAACTCAGTCGGGTATGTCCGAAATTCTTGTTTAAAACTCTGTATTTCTTACAAGTTTAATTACTACATTTTTTTTTACCCTAATTTGTAACATTTATGTGTATATTGTAGCCAATTTTGTAACATTTATGTACATATTGCAGCCTGAATTTGGGTGTTTTTTCCCTAATGTAGTGTACTATGTCGTATCAGATATGTTGTCGATGTCATTATTCCGACCAATTTTTTGAATGATTTTTGGGTGCATATTGTAGGGACTTATCGCCTTACGATGAATTTGTCAAAACAAGAGGAAGATGTTGTAGTTGTCTTGCATGAGCTAATGTTTAATTTGAGGCTATTTTTTTTAATATCTATGCGCATGTTTAGGCAGTTTAACCGTCGTCGTTTGACTGATGCCCAATCAAACAACAATCGATCTTATAGTTTGATAGGCAGAACCCCTTCGCAACTTGATTACTTGCGTTCAATTGTTGGATTCGATGATGTTACTTGTCGTGACAATCTGAGAATGAATATTCAAACATTTTATCGCTTATGTTAGGTTTTAGAAAATGTTGGTGGTCTTAAACCGAATAGAAATGTTACCATTCCCGAGCAAGTTGCAATGTTTCTTCAGATTTTGGCACACCACACGGAGAATGTTGTCGTGCGTAGTCATTTCAAAAGATCAGGTTATACAGTTAGCAAGCATTTTAATCGGGTCCTTTTGGCCTTGCTAAAACTACATGAGATGCTTTTGATTTCACCAAAAGCCGTCGACGAAAACTCGGATAACGAGCGTTTTTCATACTTTCAGGTAAAACAGCCCTATGTTTGTTACCATACATTATCATTGTAGTTAAATTACAACTAAAAAGATTTAATTCTTAACAATGCATGTAATTCATTTCTTACAACTGTTAGGGTTGTCTTGGGGCACTTGATGGGACATACATAGATTGCCGCGTTCCCTATCTTGATAAGCCAAGATATAGGAATCGCAAAGGCAATGTGTCGTTGAATGTCCTAGCCGTGTGCGATAATAACATGAACTTTATTTACTTACTAACTGGGTGGGAAGGTTCGGCTGCAGATAGTAGAATACTTCGGGACGCGGTAACTAGGGAAAACGGGTTACGGGTCCCTACTGGTATGTATGTGTACAAATTAACATATTAAGGTTATTATTAATTTGCACATTTTCCAAATTCATAACCATATGAGTTGCGTAAAACCACCGTGAATTTCTTTACTATTACAGGTAACTACTATTTGGTTGATAACGGTTACACGAACGGCGAGGGGTTCTTAGCACCTTACAGAGGTGCTAGGTACCACCTTGATGCATATGGTCAAGGCCCAAGTGCACCTAGAAACTTTAGAGAATTTTTTAACATGAAACATGCCAAGGCAAGAAACATAATAGAGAGGGCATTTGGGCTTTTGAAGTCAAGGTGGGCAATTTTACGAAGCCCTGCTTATTACCCCATCAAAGTTCAAAATAGGATCGTAATGGCTTGTTGTCTCCTTCATAACTTTATTCGAACCACGAATGACTTCGACCCTGATGAAGAAACGTTAGATGAATTTCTCCGTAAGAATCCAAGTGTGGTTAGTGGTGAAGATTACATTAATACTGTGGAAAGTTCACAAGAGTGGACTGATTGGCGGGATACCATAGCGTTGAACATGTACAATCATTGGCTATTATCTCGCTAGATTGGAGTTGTAATCTGTTTTTTCCAGACCCATTATTGGTTTCGTCGTTGGTTTTATTTATCTGCCCTATTCACATGTTTATTTTTAATGAGATATTGTTTTCGAATGTAATGACAATTTGGTGTGTTGGTAAACTACATTGTAAACCTATTTGTTTTCAGCCTTTGTTGTTCATTTTTATTTGTTCAGTTTATGTTTTTTTGTTTTTTTTTTTCTAGTTTAATGTATTTTTAATTTGTTTTATACCATCATTCACTAAATTGGTAAATTTCCAACAAATACATGGATCATGGAAAACAATGTGCAATTCAAAAAGGGTTCTACAAGTAAGGGTGGTGTGAACACTAATAGGCGTAGTTGGACGGTCCTTGAAGAACAAACTTTAATATTAGGCTTGAAAGACATTGTGTCTAGGGGTTGGAAGAGTGAAAATGGTTTTAAAACCGGTTTTCTAGGCACTCTTGAGCAGTTTATGGTGCAAAAATTTCCCGGTACCGACCTTAAAGCAACGCCACATATCCATTCAAAGATACACGTGTGGAAAAAACACTATGGTTCTCTAAGCACGATGTTGTCTAGGTCGGGATTCGGTTGGAACGATACAAACAACACGATCGAGGTCATAGACGATCAAGTTTGGCAAGATTATATAAAGGTAATAATTCAAAATACACAATTTATATTGAATTAATATTTTTCCGACTTCAATTCCTTACCATTGAGATGAATTATTTATTATTTTTTCATACAAAATTGTAGACGGATGTCAATTCCCGTGCTATGCGATATAAATCGTGGCCATTCTATAAAGATTGGTGCGAAATATTTGGAAAAGACCGTGCTACTGGGGAAAATGTTGAAGCTTTTGTCGAAGCTATTAATGATTTAGTGGGGAATAACCAAGAAATGCGTCACACGTCTAACGAGGATGAGTACATTCCGCATGTAGAGCCTGCCAATGCGGACAATTACTCCCAATACATGTCTTTCAGTCGTGTTGATGAGGCGACCTCTTCTAAATCGAAGTCGAAATCAAAGAAACGTTCACGCAGCGATGCATTTGACAGTGGCTACATAGAGATGGCTGCAAATTTCTTCGAGAAAATGGAAGCTCAGATGGGTGAATTGGTTAGTCGCATGGGTTTCGAGAAAGATGTTTCCATAGCCAGAAAACAAGTTTTTGACGCCCTACAAAACATGGAGCACCTTACATTTGAGCAACGACTAAAAGTGACATCCAGAATCTGCGATAATAGCAAGGACCTCGACATTTTCTTCTGTTTGACTGATAAGCACAGGGTAAATATAGTGCAGCTGATCGTAGAGGGTCGTTATTAAGTACTAAACATTTTACATATTGAGATGAATTAATATGTTTTTTTTGGATGATTAATGACTGATGTTTTGTAAGTTTTATAATACCGTTCCGAACCATTATCCTCTATATTTTGTACCTTTTTTGAGATGAAGGTTCAGTAACACCTAGCTGGTGCTACTGTTTTGTGTTGAACCTTTAAGATGAACTAATTATTTTGAACTCCTAATACTAGAAATTGTATATCTTCGTTTCAATATTTATTGTCTTACTGCAGTGAAAGAAAAAAAAAAATAAAGCTTAGCTGGTGTACTAAATGGAGCTGCATATTATAACATATGGAAACATAATTAGATCAAAAACTACAAACCTTAAAACAAACCTACAGCCATTCGAATTATCTTACATGCACAAGAACATATGTGCACAAAACAAAGTATTTTTTAGAACGACATGCTCCCAATGTTACAAACAAAACACAAACCACCGACACCAAGCCCGTTGTAATTTATTCGGGAGTATAAAACCCAGCGAAGTGTGGCTTGTTAGAAGCCGTTGAGCTCTTTGGGGTACCAAAATGGTTGAAATTTACTATGTTTTCCGCCCTTGGACGCACAACAGAGTTCTGTAACCCCGCTGGAATGTCCACGAGTTGCGAGTTAGCCGTGCTTAGTTCCGCGTCTCTTGAACCATCAGAATCAGACACGTAGTTAAGGTAGTTCATCATGTCAAGATCCACGTTGTTCGATGTACCTGAAGAAATGTTAATTACTGAAATAGGGGGTTTGTGGGAGACATTTGCAAATTCTTGTTGTGCCACAATTTCAAATGCTTGAGCATTCATGCCGACTCTTTCGCCCTCTGCTCCGGGATCTGCATCCACCTCATTCAAAATCCCATTACATTGTTGCGTGTTATCGTCGTCGGACGAGACCACAATTATATGGTCGTCACCGTTAGGATCGTTGACAGGTTCGGATCCAAAGATACACTTTAGAGCCACGTATTTTGGTTCTCCGTATGGGCGGTAAGCGTAAGAGAAATGAATTGTCTGTAACGTGCAAAGCATAAAATAAACGTGCGAACATACATATAATATTATTGTATTTATGTACTAAGAATTAAATACCTTTGAAATATAATCCCAAGTAACGTCTGGTGCAGAAACGATGTTCGTTGACGAATTATAAAGAACACCATCTTGTGCAAGAATCCAGTGGAACGTCTTGAAACGTTTGCGCAGCAAATCGAGCTTCTTAGTCAGATGTTTGTATGAAAAGAACGTGTTAAACTTGTTCTGTATGGCTTCTTGACAACTGAAAAGTGCAAGTGTATTATTATCGTCACGTTTAATATTGCCAAGACATGATTCCATACATAATAGCTCGATGAAATAATCATCGATTCTTTCACTCCATTCAAGCTCATACAAAAAATCTTCTTGTCGAAAGATTGGTTTTTTCTTTGGTGCCATGCAAATTATTCTTATTTAATAATATGTAAATGTATTTTTACAGTAAGCAGTTTCGCTCTGGTCATTTATAAGGCAATGCAAACCCTAAAAAAATGAGTTATTGAGGAGAGTTAGGGTTTGAGCACATTTATCACCCATAAATATTATCCCATACAATTTAATGTAGGGATTGACAACACAAGCTTTAAATCACGTCACAAATATATGTAACAGAGAATTTTCTTCATTATTACAGTGTGTAGTGGAGCAGTTGAAATTAAAGCTCATTGAGCACAATTGCAAATGAAAAAACAGATATACATACAAGTGGGAGGGGTTGTAGTGTAATTATCACGAACATTTAATACGAATTGGTAGTTAAGTGTAATGAAGATGCTGAACCGTCTGGTGCAAAATTAATTTACGTGCAAAAGACGGCTAATGGAGTGCATTTGCAGCACCTCAGCCGTCGATTGGTATGCTGAAACGGCTATTGAATAGCACAAATCATTTCAAGTATTAAATTGACTATAAATGCAGATTAGAAAGGGTGGTTCGACTTATTTATTTTGAATATCACTTATTCACTCCTTAGAACTTTTCGTCTGACAAGAACTAAGTGTAGGTGAACCAATTTTAGTAGAATCAATTCTTTCGTCATTTATTTTTATGCCAATTCTACAGATTTTTAATTCAGTTTATTGTTTAAGGTTTGTAGGATCATGTCCAGGCCAAGAACCCGTAATCAGAAGATGATGGCCAGGCTTAACACTCCCACATGGCCCTTCGAATACGATGATTTTATGATGGAATCAGCTGCCGATGTTGCCCGATCCATGGAAACTCTGCGCAACAACGAGGCGTATGAAGATCTCCTCTACGAAGTGTATCTGCTAATGGTCTTCCATTTTGAAAAAAACTTCGATGAAATTGCAATAAAATGCAGAATGGATTGGTTTCGAAACATGTTTATGTCGTTTAAGATGTACATTGCGACGGATGGTGTCATGTTCAATCGCCATACAAAAAAGATCACTTTGGACAGGAGTTTATGGCCATGGAATCGCCGTGTAAGTCATAAGTATATGTGCTTAAATGTAATGTACTCGTTTGTTTGAAATAACATGGTACAAAATTTATTTAATTTGTCTTTCGTATAATATACAGGAGACGGATGAAGAGAGGATGTTTAGGGTTAACGGCTTTCCGTTGTTCGAAGAGTGCAAGTTTGTTTTCGAATGCAAACAAGCACCGGCATGCAACTTTGATGGGATAACGGGATTCAGCCCGAACAACCCACTGGTCATTGATGGAGACGAGGAAGATGATGAAAGCGATGTTTCGGTAGATGCCGAGCCCGTTATAATCCCGGATCACCAAGTGCCAAACATTGAAAATAATGTCATTGGAAATGTTGGAGCGCCAAACGAAGACAATGAACCAGCTGTGAGTATCAGCGATCATGATGGTGATGATCGTAATTCCGAATCCCAGGGATCAATTGGTGCCGATTAATCCCGAACTTCGTTTATATTAGTTAATCTTATTTCGTTATATTTGTGGGTTGATGTTCTTATTTAGATTCCTTGGTAAGTTTGTCTTTTGTTCGGGACTAAGTTCCTAAATTTTCCCATATGTACGGACTGATTTTCGGAGGGTAAGTTCCCAAATTTTCAATCGGATATTAATGATGAAGTACTATTATATATTTCTTGTATCTCCAGTAGATTATAGCTTATTAATTTGCAAACATATATTCAGTAACTACTGTACTGTGTTAATGAAATGTATGTACCCTAACGGAGATAAATTACACGTAATTATTCAAACAAAGTTGAATACACTCAAGTTTGACCTTAAGTAAACACCTGTACCACTTTATTCAAATATGGAAGCAAAACCATAATTAATGAACATAAAAGTTTACTAAACAAACACTTGCAGCTCTCTAAAGAAATTGAACAGCAAAACCATTGTAGGTCAGTCTACAATTCATAGTTAGAACGTGCCGATGACAGTTACAACAGTAGGACATAATCTAGTACAACAAACCTCTTAGCTGAATAATGGAATGGAAAAAAAAAACGCTTGTCTTCAACATAAGAACCGCTGATTCACCATTTCGTTACAACATACAGTTAAACGAACTTTACTACGAAAACAATGCATACAAAACTAATAGACTAACAACAACTGCAACAGCTGAACCAGTTGACATAAGATATGACTTTCTCACAACTTTCTGCTCACTCTTCAACTGCAGTTGGGATTCCAAATCTGTTATTTTGCTCAGCAGAACTGGAATCTGCAATGGAATTTGTGATTCCAATGTATTTATTCTCTTGATCAAACCAGGGATTATCGCTTTTGATCTTTGACACATCTCGGGGTCATACCAGTAGAAAATCGAACAACCAGTACCCTGATATTCAATTTAATGCAATGTCATTTTACCAAAGGATGCACAAAATAATGTATAAATTAATATATAATTTCAACATATTGTTTGAAAATGCTGGTTAGAATGAATGACCCAACCCATGTTAATGGGTTTCATTACAAATTAGACGAACTACAAATTAGACAAACAGTTCAAAAGTTCCTACACACTTTTGCATATGCAATTGTTGTTATACATACATATTCAATTCACAAACACAGATTTATCATATGTTTTACCCACAACAGTTTGCCTTATACATAAACACATGTTTTCATTCATTAACAATAAATCAGTGGAAATGAGAATAAATCATTACCCCCCGCCGTGCACACGATAGAAACCGCCGACCTGGATTCGCCGGCATCCATGATGTTTGCACAAGAAGCTTCCGGCCACAGTCACAAAAAGTAGGATGCTCGCGATTGGCGTTGTTCGAGAAAAATCTGTTGCTACTCTCGCTCCTACTCTTACTACTAGTGCCGATATCATCCATTCTCCAAATCTACCGTTCCACAGCACAAATCGATGATTTGGTTTCAAAGATTGTGAAATTAGGGTTCCCGACGGATGTTTTTGGGGGAAAGGGGATTTATACCATTTAAATAATAAAAGGCCATATTAAAATATTATATGTCTTTTGTAAGGGTATTTACGGCAATATGGACTTAATCACTGCTGATTTGTCTAAATCATGCAAAGCAAATGTAAAATGAGTAGTCAACATATTATTAGTCATGAGTTAATACAACTAACCAAATGATATGACTAATAATATTAATCATGTTATTAATCACAGTATTAAGTATCTCATCCCACCCCATTTATCAAGTCAATCAAACCAAAGAGGCCCTTAGGGTTTTCACAAGAACAGTATAAATAAAATATTTATAGGTCTTGTAAAAAAAAAAAAAAGACAAACCCTAGTCCTTTTCTTTTTTTTTCGGTTCCGTTTTATTCTAACATCTACGTGTCTAGTAACACGTTGGATGTGGAGATCATTGTACGAGGTGAAACCTAAGAGGAGGAAGCATCGGACAACAGCTCCATCCGCCGCACCACTGCCACGTGTCGTCGCTGATAGCCGTGACCGAGCGAACATCTCGAGCCGAAGGGGTGTTGCTAGAAAT